CCTGCAAGAGGGGAAACACCCCCTTCCAGAGGGGAAACACACCTTCCAGAGGGGAAACACACCTTCCAGAGGGGAAACACACCTTCCAGAGGGGAAACACCCACTCCCAGAGGGGAAACACCCCCTTCCAGAGGGGAAACACCCACTCCCAGAGGGGAAACACCCACTTCCAGAGGGCCCACCACCCCCTTTCCAGCTCCCAGGGGTGAAGGGCTCGACGGGAAGGACGCCTGTGATCTCTGGGAGTCAGGGAACGGTCGGGTTGGATCTCAGGGGAAGGTTCTTTCCCCCCTGAAGGGGCTCCCCAAGGGCAGCAAATGAAAGGCCACCAAATGTCATTGAAGTTCACAGGATTCCAGGATGGTTTGGGTTGGAAGGGAACTTAAAGACTGTCCAGTTCCACCCCTTTCCCAGCTGGAAGCCCCTCACCCCTTGGCCCATCACTCCTTGCCCCAAGTCCCTCTTGGAGCCCCCAGGGAAGGAAAACCCCTTTAAATGTCACTCCCAACCCAAACTGCTCCATGATCCCATGGAAATAAACAGCTGGGAATGCAGGAAAAGCTGCTCAAGCCTGGAATAACTGAGGGGAAAAACAAAAAATCACATAATGGTTTGAGTTGGAAGGGACCAAAAGCCCATCCCATCCCATTCCATTCCACCTCCCACTATCCCAGGTGGGTCCAACCTGGCCTTGGACACTCCCAGGGATGGGAAATTCTCTGGGAAACCCATTCCAGGGCCTCCCCACCCTCCCAGGGTGGAATTCCTTCCTGACATCCCACCTAAACCCTTCCTCTTCCAGCTTAACCCCCTACCCCTGCCCTGGCACAAAATCTGCCCGTGTGGAAAAAAAAAACCCTCTCCCAAGATCTGGGATTTGTTCCTTCCCTCCCCTATGACCACAAACAACAAATCCCTGAGGAAAAGCAGCCTGGAAAGGTGGAGGACAAAAGCAGGGCCCAAGAGAGGCCCCTTCTCCAAACCCACCTGGCTCTTCTTGCTCAGCAGGGCCCAGCCATTGGTGTCAAACTCCTTCCTCTTCTTGTCCAGGCTTTCCTGCTTCAGGTACTGCCTGGAGGAACGGGACAACAGGGAGAGCTGGCTTAGAGGAGCAGAGGGGGGGGAAAGCAGCCAGAGGAGTCCCTCAGTTTACCCAAGTTTTGCCCATGTTTGCAGAGCTCAGGCTCAGGATGGCAGCCCAATGTTTTCGTCTCGGCCCCGGCCGCGCTCAAAAAGGGCTTTGTGGAGTCCAAAGGGGACCGAGCACGACTTCCAGAGCTCATCCAGGAGGGAAAAAAAAAACCCCAGTCCCTGCCAGACCAGAGTCAAAGCCACAAACAAACCAGGGGGAGAAAACTGGTGTCGTGGCAGAGGAAAAGCTCAGCAGCTCTGAGGGGCTCTGCTGGTGTCCTGTGACCTCCCGGGGATGGAGGTGACAGGGACAAACTGGTCACGGCCTCAGAAGTGTCCCCGGGTGGGAAAGGGCTCCTCTCCAGCTGCTGGCACAGGTCAAACCCTCCCCCGAGCCCACAGCAGAGGGAGAAGAGCCCCAGGGGCAGGTTTCACATCCCAGCTCCCACCCCAGGGCCTGCAGGACTCGGGAAGCTCCCGGGGGGTGTTGGCCCGTGGGTTCTGCTCCAAGAGGCTCCCACCAGCTTGGCCTGGATTAAAACCCTGGAAGGAGGGGGGAGTTTAACCTGAGAAAGCTCAGGGACTCTGCAAAGCCCCTGCCCAGGCAGGTGCCACCTTCTTTTCCTCAGTGGGCACGAAGACCTTGAGCCATTCCCTGCCCTGGGAAGCGCAGGAAGGAGGACACGGACTCCAGGGGGGACTCGAGGGGGGACTGCAGGAGCCCCAGGAGGGGAGGGGGTGGCCCCAAGACGTTCCCAACGGCCCTAAAGGAGCTGCTGCTGTCACTGAGCTCTGGAGACACCTCCTGCTCCTCCTGGAGACCAAAAGGACCGGGAAGAGCCCCAAGAACCATCTCCTCCATGTCTGGCACCTCCTCAGAGGAGCCCCAGGAGAGGAGGTGGTGGCCCCAAGATGTTCCCAATGGCCCTAAAGGAGCTGCTCTCTGGGGGCTGCTGCTCTGTCACTGAGCTCTGGAGACACCTCCTGCTCCTCCTGGAGACCAAAAGGACCAGGAAGAGCCCCAAGAACCATCTCCTCCATGTCTGGCACCTTCTCAGAGGAGCCCGAGCCTGAGGACACGAGGTGGTGGCCCCAAGATGTTCCCTGTGGCCCTAAAGGAGCTGCTGCTGTCACTAAGTGACACTGAGCTCTGGAGTCACCTCCTGCTCCTCCTGGAGATTAAAAGGAGCAGGAAGACCCCTGGGAACCATCTCCCCCACATCTGGCACCTCCTCAGAGGAGCCCCAGGAGGGGAGGTGGTGGCCCCAAGATGTTCCCAATGGCCCTAAAGGAGCTGCTCTCTGGGGGCTGCTGCTGCTGTCACTGAGCTCTGGAGACACCTCCTGCTCCTCCTGGAGACCAAAAGGACCAGGAAGACCCTCAAGAATCATCTCCTCCATGTCTGGCACCTCCTCAGAGGAGCCCCAGGAGCCCCCTCGCCGCCGCGGCTGCGCTCGGAGAGCTCGGGGAGGGAACTCAGGGGATCAGACGCTGCTGGCTCGGGCAGAGGGGTCAGGAGAGCGCCTGGCACGGAGAGGGAGGCAGGTTTGGCTGCCAACAGGCAGAGATGTGCCATCTTTTGGGAAATCTGATCCGCAGGGACTTGGCCGAGCCGCCTCGGTCGGTGCCAAGGGCGGAGGGTTCAACCTGCTGCCCCGGGGCCGCTCAGGGGGCTCCTCTGCCCCCCAAAATCCCAAGAACTGCCCCAAAGAAAAGCCCTCCCCGGGCTGCAGGACACCCAGAGGCCACCAAGGGACTCAGGAGGGGCAGAAGAACCACCCAGAGGGAAGGAAAGGGTCGGGAGTGTGAAGGGGGAGGTTTTTCGGGATGAAGTGTCAGGAATGGGGGTCTCTGTCATGGCAGGGGCCAGATCTGGTCCAGCCAAGAGTTTTCCATGAGCCTTCCTTAGCTGGACACCCCTTCCCAGCCCTGCCAGCAGTGATTGCTCTGCTTTGGATGGGATGAGCTCTGCGTGGGGGAAATCTCACCCCTAAAAAACCCCCTCTCCCACCTTTCCACTGTTCAGGAGCAGCTCCACATCCCCACCTCTCCTGGAATAAATCCTAATGGATAATGGATGGAGAAGAGGCTCCTGGAATAAATCCTAATGGATAATGGAAGGAGAAGAGGCTCCTGGAATAAATCCTAATGGATAATGGATGGAGAAGAGGCTCCTGGGAACGAGCTTGAGCTCAGAGGTGAAGGATCTGCACTACAACACGGGCCGTGGGGAAAACGTTAATTAATTAATTAATTAATTAATTAACCCCCCAAAAAATCAACCCTGGCAATCGGTGGCGGCTCCAGAAGCCACTCGGGCCCTCAGCTGGAGGAAGGAGAGCACAGAGCCCAAAGGGACCCACAATCCCAATTCCAGCCCCTGGAGGAACTCAGGGAGGCAGAACGGGGTCGGTGCACTTGGAGGAGGAAAAGCTGGGCAGGGATAATTGGGAAGGACAATCCAAGCCCAAATCCAACCCCAAATCCAACCCCAAATCCAAGCCCAAATCCAAGCCCTTGCCATGCCTCGGGCAGGGGCTGAAAAGAGGATTTTTGTCCTCTTTTTTTGCCTCCTCCAGGGCTCACAAACACACAGAGAGCCGAGCAGGTGCCTCAGGGAATTGCTGGGATCGGCTCCAAGGGGCAGCCGGAGCAGGGGGCGGGTGAGGTGAGAGCAGGAGATGAGAACATTCCCAGATTTCACGGCTGTGCCTCCGCTAAAATCCCAGTTTTTCACCTCATTTTTAACAGGCTGCTTCCTGCCCACTCCCAAACACTGGAGAAACACCCACCCCCCAAATAAAAAAACCCCAGGCACCTTCCTCAAAATCCTCTCTCCAGGTCTCACTCCAAACCCTGGGATCGCTCCAGACCCTGCCCTGGGCCTCGCCTTCCCCCCTAAGCTCTGATTTCCCTGGAATCCTCTCACTTCCCCCGGAATCCTGAGGCCTTTAGGAAGCTCTAAAGATTGAAAGCATGAAAGGGTCACTAACCATGAGTAGGACCTCCGTCCCTCCTTCCAGGTGTGATCCTCCCACTGCATTCAACCAATAAAAGCCTCCTAAAATGAAACAGAAGGAAAAGGATTACGGCCAGGGAAGTGGGGACCTGGAATTCTGGGCACCTGGAATCCTGGATCTCTGGGCACCTGGAATCCTGGATCTCTGGGCACCTGGAATCCTGGATCTCTGGGCACCTGGAATCCTGGATCTCTGGGCACCTGGAATCCTGGATCTCTGGGCACCTGGAAT